ACAATACCATATAATGATTTAGAAAATATAAAACTTTGCAAAAATGTAGATATTCACATTGACGAAAAGGCTGGAGTTGCATCATTTTGTTTCCTTGTGCAATTGTCAAATTCCTTGTACAATTACATTGTTTATGTTACAAAATTTCTATAAACTTACAAACACTAAACTGGAACCTTTAATTGTGTTCCATAATCTCTGATTCAAGTTGGCTATGAGAATGGAATTTTTAAGAAATCAAGAAAATAAAGACAATGATTTTATCCCATGGTTATCGCAGCAGAGAAATCCCCTCCCAGGATTTAACTCTGTCCATGAAGTCTTCACTAATGCTCTCTTACCACAGTAACAAAAGGCCTCAATTCTTTCTCCTCTGTTCTTCTACTCCTTCCTTCTTCAGCGTTGACATGGAATGTATTAGGGCAAAATCAATTTAGGTCCAACCATGGCGCCAAAATAAAAGGAGGAATTGGGTATGTGGTGTTTTTACATGATTGATCTTTTAGGTTATCACATGCATTTCATGTAATAGCCTGGGTTAACAACAAGTTCGACGTTTGTCAGTCTTGGGGTTAGATTGTCACCAAATATTAACATTGAGGGTGAAATTTGGAACAATCAATCTTTCATGGTGCAAATTAATTTTTTTGCAATCTTTCAGGGGGCAAAGTGCCATTTGCCTAATTTATTATATTAAATAATTACAGCCCCTCTGTTTGTATCTCTTGCCATGTGTATGTCCAAACAAGTTTTCTGTTTTTTGTTTTGCACAACTATTTTTGAAAATATATAACCAAACAAGTTTTGTGATAAAAAAAATCCCAAAATCAGTTTTCGGAATTTTTCCCTAAAAACAATTTTCCGAGACGCAAACTAAAAATGTCCTATAATTTTTGAAACTTTTTTGTTAATAAAACCAACCATGGATTTTTAAGTCATTAGATCTAATTCAACTGAACATTTTTATCCTCTAGTCCAAACTAATTATATCATTTTTTATTTACTATGAAAATACCCTGTTGGCATTCATGTTTCCAGCTGTCTCACATCGACAACAAATTTGCCCCTCTCCCACCTCCATGGTCAATGAATCCAAGCTTTTTGTACTGATGTTCCCGTAGCTAACTTTTGCACATGATCCCATTCTTGGATCTCTCCAAGTTTATAGCCCAGATCGGGTCACAGAGTCTCCGTCATTCATCTCCACCATTGATGTTGTAAAAGAATAGAATAGAAAGCAAATATTAATTGTATATTACTTTGTTGTAATCTATAATGTACATGAAGATGTGTATTTATAGTACAAGAGAGTAGTGAGGTTTTTTAGTCTAACCGATGTGGGATAAACATATTATTATTATATAAGTTAACATCCTCCCTCAAACTCAAGGAGTTAAAGTAGAAATCAACTTGAGTTTGAAAATCAAATCATCAAATCCACCTGGTGGATGTATCTTGGTGAAGATGCTAGTAGTCTGGTTAGATGAAGAAACAAAGAGAAGATGAATTATGCCTAGAGCCACATGTTGTCACACAAAACAACAGTCAATCTTAATATGTTTGATGCGATCATGGAAAATATCATTGTGAGCAATCTATATCGCACTCTGATTGTCACACTAAGAATAGTAACACTAGAATGAGAGCCACTTAAATCTTCTAAAAGCCAATGAAGCCAAAGAAGTTCCTAGGTAGTGCCAGCAAGAGTACGGTACTCTGCCTCTACACTGGATCGAGAGATAATAGACTGTTTCTTACTGCACCAAAAGATGAGAGATTCGCCTAGAAAAAAACAATAACTAGTAAAAGAACAACGAGCAATAGGATCTCCTGCCCAATCAACATCAATATAGGTGCATAGCTTGAGAGATGAATGAGTAAAGTAATGAAGACCATGAACATAGTACCTTTAATAAATCGTAGAATATGAAAAACAACAACATTATGAGTAGAGCGAGGGACAGGCAAAAATTAGCCGATGAGATGAACAACATAGGCTATCTTCAGGTGAGTAACAGTGAGATACACAAGATTACCTATTAACTAGCAGTAAAGAGTGGCTTCAGAGAGAGGTGTGTCATCCAAGGGAGTAAGCCAAACATTTTACTCTAATGGGATAGGTATAGTCTTGCAATCAATGAGTCCAGCACAATTAAAAGATCAAAGGTATACTTGGCCTGAGAGAGAGATAATATCCATTGGAGTCAGACGAGATCTCAAGGCAAGAAGTAGTTAAGAGAACCAAGATTCTTAATGTAAAAGTGTGTGTGGAGAAGATGTTTGAGATCAGAAATACCAGAAACATCATCCATAATGTTAATTATTTCATCAACATAGAGAAATAGCATAGTAGTACCACGCTTAGACTTACAAACAAAGAGAGCCGAATCATAAGGGCTAAAAAAAATCCCAAAATCTCCAATGGTAACACTAAATTTTGCAAACCAGGCTCTATGAGCTTGTTTGAGTTTATATAGTGTACAACGAAGTCGACAAACCTGATGTGGTAAATGAGGATAGCTAGGAGGAGGTTGCCTGTAGAATTCTTCAATAAGGTCATCATTGAGAAATGCATTTTTGACATTCATCTGATATAATTTTCATTAGCGGATCGCAGCAACAACTATTAGGCTTCTAACTTAAGTAAGACAAACAACAGGAGCAAAAGTCTCCTCATAATTAATATCATACTCCTGTGTAAATCCTTTGGCCACTAGACGAGCCTTGTAATGCTCAATAGAACTAGCAGGACTAGTCTTGATCATATAAATCCATTTACAACCAATAGCCTTTTGGTTAGAAGAAAGATTAACCAAATCTCAAGTATGTGTGTTAGCTAGTGCCTACAATTCCTCTATCATTGGTTGCTGCCAATAAGGGTCAGAACTAGCCTTACGATAAGAGTAAGGCTCATGTTGAGATAGAATATTGGAGAAACCATGATAATCATGCAAACAAATAGGAATGTTCTTTACCTGAGTAGAATGACGTTGCTGATGTATAGGAGAATGAGCATCACCAGGAAGTAGTGTAGAGGGTTCAGGAGCTAAGGCATGATCACTATCAGTGTCAAGTGGGGTAAGAGTAGGATCAGGATTAGGAGGCAGGACAAAAGCCTCTAGATGGTCTGTAGCTGGGAGCTCAAATGAGTTTGAATGTGTTGGGTGGTCCGTAGATGGGAGCTCAGATGAGTCTGCATGTGCTGGATGGTTCCTAGATAGGAGCTTAGATAAGTCTAGATGTGGGTCATCAAGATATAAATCCATAGACGGATTAGTAAAGAGAGGAGAAGTAGGGGCAAATAAAAGCTAAAATTGAGACAAGGAAGAGAACACCTTGTGTTCCCAAAAGACGATATGTTGATAAATACGAAGATGCTTGGATTATGGATCCTAACAATGATAACCCTTATGTTCAATATCATAACCCAAGAAACTACAAAGCCTTTCCCGAGGTTTTCCACTTGGTACGCTTACGAAGCTAGAGTAAGTCAAAACATATATAACTAAAGACTTGAAGAAAGTGGTAATTAGGAGAAGTTCCATAAAATCACTCATATGAAGATTGATTCCCAATAATAAGAGAAGGAATATGATTGATCGTATAAAAGGCAATAAAAGCATCTTCACCCCAAAAACACTCAGGACACGAAGAAGAGATGAGAAGAGCACGAACACTGTTAAGAGTATGACGATGTTTGTGCTCAACACATCCATTTTGTTGAGATGTGCCAGGACAAGAATGATGAGAAATGGTGCCATGTTGACTGAGAAAGTTAAGTAAGGTCTTGTCTCTATATTCCATGACATTATCAGATCTAAAGACTTTAATGGATCGTGAGAATTCAATTTGGACCATTTTAAAAAAATTAAAATAAATTTGTGGCAACTGAGATCGAGTTTGTAGAAGATAAATCCAAGTGAAGCGAAAATAATCATCAATAAAAATGAAAACGTACTTTGACCCCCCCTATAGTGACAGTTGGAGCAGTTCCCTAAATATTAGAATGAACCAAATCAAAAAAGGAAAAAGACAAAGAGTTAGTATTATTGAAAGGCAAAGCTAGTTGTTTTGCAAGTTTACAAGACAAACAATCAAGTTGTTCACTGTGAACATGTCCTAACTAACCAGTGAAAATTAAATACAGTAGATGACTTGAAGAAAAATGACCCAGACAGGAATTCTAAAGATTGAAAGGAGAGTTGCTTAGAGTGAAAACAACAATACTAGAAAGGACGGACAAAAATAGTCGTCGTGGACGACGAAGATGGATAAGCTCAAACAAACGTCCATGCTTACGGCCTATCCCAAGGGTCGGTCCTATCTGTGGATCTTGGACAATACAACTAGTAGAAGAGAACAAAACATTGAGTCTGAGGTCACAAAGTTAACCCACATATATGAGATTGAGAGTAAGATTATGTATGTGATAAGTATGAGGAAGTGACACATGAGATGTAGAGGTATGTCCAACGTGATTGACATGCATGTGTGAGTCATCTGTAGTGTGAATGGGTGAAATATAACAAGTAGAATGTGTGGAAGAAAACAATAATTGATCAGGGATCATGTGGTTACAACATGCAGAGTCAAAAAACTAAGATGATTTACTTGAAATTGCAGAAAAAATAGTAGAAAATGAATTAACTGATATAGAAAGAACCAGTTTGAGAATGGCCACAAGATCACTAGCACTAAAAGTCAAAGAAAGAGAATTTGGACAACAAGAGTCATTGACAGTAGAAGCAGAAGTGTGAGAAATAGGCATAGACTTGTCGTTGGACTGAGTGTCAGATCTTGGTTGGTGTTAGGTCTAACAATTCTTGGGTGCATTATGGTACAAATTTTATGGACAGTTACTCAGATAGTAGCTTGGGTTCTTTTTTGTGACAATACTTGCAAACTCAGGTTGAACAATTGAGTAAAGCATGACCAATCTTGTGACAATATGAGCAGTGAGACTGGGTCATATCAAATAGTGCCATAATAGATTTGGAAAATCAGTGAACGACTGGACGGTTGTGAAGGACGTCAAAGGATGGTTGGAAGAAGATTGAAATGTAGTCAGAGGATGACTGATGGTGGTCAAAATATTGTTGAAAGGTCTTCAGGAGATGGTCAGGGGGCATATCAAAATGTCGTCGAATGATGTTTGATGTCGAAAGGTCGCCAAGGGGCAAATCAGAACGCCGTTGGAGGATTGCTAGAGAGTTGTTGGAGGGTTGCCGAAAGAGGTTGGTGGAGGACAACTAGAAGGACAAAGAGACTCAAGAGTTCTGATGCGGAGGATCCCTAGTAGGGTAACCATAGAGCATACTATCCTTGGCTAGAAGGATTCACGAGCCTAGATCTAATACCATGTGAAAGAAAAGAATAGAAAGTGAATATCAATTGTATATTGCTTTGGTGTAATCTATAATATACATGAGGAGGAATATTTATAGTACCAGAGAGTAGTGAGATTTTCTAGTCTAACCGATGTGAGACAAACATATTATCATTATATACATTAACAGATGTCTACACATAAGACATTGTATTCCTCAAAAAGGCATTCGATAATCTTGAAAGTGATTTCTCTAAATTTCTCAAAAACTCATTGACAAATTGAATTATTTATGACTTTGCCCCTCATTGGTCATAATCCCTTATTTTCACTCAATTAGTTCTCTCAATTGTGGGGAAAAATACAAAACTTCACGTGTAGGATCTTTCCAGTCGATTATATACGAGAAATCGAACGCTAGACCTAGAGAGGGGATGAATAGATTATCAAAAATTTTGCTTAGATAAACACCAATTTTAACCAAATTCGACCTCAATTACCTCTTTTCACAATGATATGGCGATTTAAGTGAAAACTCCTTTTAAATCACCCCAACCCAAAACACCCATGTAGATGTGTATATATTTTATTAATTTGTTGATTAACACTTAATCTCACACGGTGATCCCAACCACAGCAACTCAAATCCAATCAAGCAACTATATGTGATATGTAGATTCAAACAATCAATTCATTAAACACATAGTGTGGGTAAGTGTATCAAATCTCAAGTGTATATGTAAAAGCAATAAATAATACAAGTGATTTGTTGACGCAAAAAATCTTTCTCGAGAAAAATAGCTAGGAAACTTCTCGGTTCACCAAAACCTAAATTCACTAAAATCAAAGTCAATCTACAAGTACTCGAGCCTTATATTTCAAACAATTCACAAGGCTAAATGCTTCTTTCCTTCGTAGATCGCTCCACCAAAGGCCCTCCTTCGACGTTTTGAGTAGCTTCACTTGGATCTCTCCACTGCATGGTTCTTCTAGCCCTCGAGCAATCTTTTAGGCTTCACACCCAAGACTATTGGTTTGCACACTCCAATGGGTTTGGTCTTCACCCAACACAGATTTTTCTTCTCCAAGTTGTGAGGTTGGATATGAATCACAAGATGGTAACCTTTGGGGTCAAGCATCTAGGGTTATGGTTGAAGCTCTCTAGAAATATTTTGGTCTTTTCTAGCTCTTAGAGGCCTGCACTAGCAGTAGGAAAGATATTCCCTATTTATAAGCTCAAAATAAGGACAATATTGGTCCAAAAAAACTTAGATTCGCAACGATCGCTCGACTAGTGAGAGAGCCATCATAGGTGAAGATAAAATAAATCTAGTTTGAGAGAGAGAGAGAGAGAGAGAGAGAGGAAGTTGTATTATTGATCTTCATCAATTTATACATACAAGTATCTCTATTTATATAACAATCCTCAATATTTTAGTAACTAACCTCAATCTGTTAGTAACTAGCTATCTTTGTAAGTTAACATCAATGACTTCATTCTAGATAGTTACAAGTTTATTAGAGATCACATGGATTAGAACTGCACTTCACATGGTGTTCACGTGGGCATGCAACAATGCTAGATTGTGATTGGTGCAACTGTTTAGCTGTGGTTTCATGGCTAGTACTATGCGTACATGCTAACTATGCCGAAGCTAAACATGCTTGAGTTGAGGCTTGAGCTGATGAATCTGTTGTGCTAATATACCCCCTTAAATTTATGGTAGGGAAGCCAACCATAAGTTTGTCTTAGAGAAGAAGAAATCTGAATGTAGAAAGAATAGTGTTTTAAAATCCGACTCGACCAGGCGGGTTGACCCAGTGAAATGGTCATTAAACAGAACTGAGTTATGTATTGGATCAATTGAGTAAAAAACCTAGTGAAAACCCATTGAGTTATGTTTTGGATCAAAGGATTGGGGGGGGGGGGGATTGCAGTTGGGATTGGATTAAAATAGTGAAGGGGTCCACTTATCCTTGGTTTGGGTAAGTTTTTGGGGATGGGATTTTCGTTGGTTTTGAAAACATCGGCTGTATGTTTTGAAGCAACAAATCTCATTTGCAGGTGATTCAACAATCCCTTCTGCTGTGAGGGATTGTTGAATTGTGAAGTAAGATTATATGGCTAAAATCTAAAATACTCTCCACAGTAAAAATTGTTTTTTTGTTATTTTTCCTCAATCTCTTTCTCTCTTTACCTCCTTTATTCATTTGCTCAAGCTTGTTGCTTCACATCAGCATGAGTTTCTTCGATGGAAGTAATAGCTCTAGTATCGACCTTGCACTACTCAGATCTGCCCACAGTTGACCAGATCTGTCCATGGAAGTAACAGATCTGGCCATTGAAGTGGTCCATCTGCTTGAAGGATGAGTGGTGTTTGGGAGCAAAATAGAGACATATGTTATTGGTCTCTCTCTGTGTTAATCTTTCTCTATCTGAACACACAACCGACTGAGTGGCTGTGTTTCTCCACCGCTAACTCTTCTCAACTTAGAGGAGGGTTTGTTAATTTTATAATTAACACCTTTGTGGGCTATTAACTAAGGAGTGGATTTGGGCCAGTAAAAAATGATTTGGGCTATTATACATAGATTTGGTAAAAATAAATTTGGGGTGTCAATTTGAGAGGATTTAAGCTATTAATTGAGGTTGTAAAAATAAAATACCCTAAATTAAAATTCATAGAAAATACTTTTCATTTGTATATGAAACACATTCAAAAACATAACATGGATGAATTGACATTTGGGTCAATGGTATCGTACGTGTGCATAATTATACCATACTATGATCAAATAATTTATGCCATTTTGGATTAAAAAATTTGCGAATTTGAGTAATGTTCCAACTTAATTTACAATTTTGTAGCAATTGTAAATATGAATTCTTTGTACACAAAGGTGCAATGGTCATTTTACTATATTTTATCTTCACATGTCAATGAGGCCCACAATCCAATTGAAACCTATCCAAACATGGGATAGGATTTGAATCCGAACTTTATAATCCTCAAATCCGGACCATTTTGCATTGGATTGGATTGAGTTTGGATTTAAATCCAATTCAATACAATCCTCCAATGGTCATCCAAACACCACCATTGAAGCAATTGGTTTTTGTCCTCTGCTCAAAAAAAAAAAAAATTGGTTTTTGTCCATACCCGTTGAACCAGACTGTTTATAACAAGCTAGACGGATTAAGTCAAAAGTATAAAAACTATACTTTGGCCCTTTTGCGCATTTTAACCCTAAACCTTTTTGTGCCTCCACCCCCCTCCACTATCCAGTCCAACGATTCCAACAAAAAAGTTTACTACATGGATTCTAGACAACAGATTCAAGCTTCTGGCAATAATGGAAAAGTTCACTCCATGGATGCTTCACTCACTGAGTCAATCTTCCTCAGGTACATTATATAACTCTCTTTCTCTCTCTTTTTTTGAAATAATCTTTTCTTTCTCACTCTCAGTCTCTCAGCACTCTGATTGTTTTGTTCTACAATGGTATTTGGCAAGAATCATTGACCTATGAATGATAATCATTCAATTCAAGGTAAGGTTTTTTTTTTACCTATATAGTTCAGGTTGTTCTCTAAACCGGTAACAATGTGACAAAATTTCTTTCTCTCTTGATTGGCATGGTAGATCGGTTGGATAATGGATGTGGTGGCAGGCATCATCGAAGTTCGAGGCATCGGAAGGACGGAATCCAAGAATCTTTTTGTTAGTGGAATCGAATGTTCCCAGAAACCAGCAAACCCAACCTATACAAAGAGCTATTTTCAGCCCCTATTCCCCTTATTTGGCTTAGCAAAAGAAGAAGCAACTAATGCCTGTAAAAAGACATGGAATGAAGCAACTGACTACTCAACAAAGCCCGAAGAAGAAGTTGGAAATACGAGCTGCAACAAGAATCCTCTTTCTACTTATTTATATAGTAGATCAATAGCTTGCGAATAGTTAGGCTTGTTGCTTATATTTTCCTATTTGGGTTTAATTAATTTGTGAATATTCAACGAATTTGGAGATTTTACCCTATTTTTTGTGACTCCTATTGTTGAATTGTGGTTTGTTCCACTATTTTTTTTTATCATTTATGTTTGTTGTTGTTGATGTATCTTGAAATCATTTTGATATTCAAAGTGAGTTGAGCATTTTATAGCATGGATTTTTGATTATTTTAATCAGTGGACGTATAAGAGCTTTGTAAGGATGAATCAATAATTTTAATACTTATCATCTATATTGATTTATTGAATATTGATGCTATGAAATGAGATTATGAGTTTTTAGTTTTTAATTTGATAGTTTTTTGTTCTAAAATTTGTATATCTTTGTTTAAACTTTAAATTATGTTCATGATTTTGCATAAAGAATGTGAATGTCTTCCTAAATATAATGCAAACATTATTCTTATTAATAATTATTTTTATTTTTTTATTATATAACCGATCGGACCAATGACCTACTGGTTGAATCAGTAATCCATTGACCCAGTCCCTTCATTGGGTTATTGTTTGAGCTGGTTTAAAAAAATATGAGAAAAACCCTTTGCGAATATATTAGCAAGCTGCTCTGTGGAAGATACATGAGTTACTTGAAGATCCTTTCTTTCTTGTGACCCTTTCTTTAACAAAATGGTAATCAATCTCTATATGCTTGGTTAAAACATTAAATAGAGGATTAGCTGTGAGTGTTAAGGCTGAAGGATTATTTAACCATAGAAAAGGAGCTTTGTCTTGGACAGCTGTAACTACTAAAGCTCTTTACTCAACCTATGTTGAAGATCAAGCAATAGTGGACTGCTTCTTAGCTACCCAATGAATGGGGTTGGAACCAAGAAAAATAATATAGTCAGTGGTAGACCTTCATTATGTTGTATCATATGTCTAGTCTGCATCACAATAGGCTGATAAGGAACAGA